GGAGTGAAGAACCTGCAGGGAGCTGTGCACACACGGGAGTGAAGAACCTGCAGGGAGCCAGGCACACACAGGAGTGAAGAACCTGCAGGGAGCCTCTGCACACACAGGAGTGAAGAACCTGCAGGGAGCTGTGCACACACACACAGGAGTGAAGAACCTGCAGGGAGCCAGGCACACACACACAGGAGTGAAGAACCTGCAGGGAGCTGTACACACACAGGAGTGAAGAACCTGCAGGGAGCTGTGCACACATGAGCATTGAGACTGGAGGTGGCAGGTGGCGTGTGTCTGGGACATGTTATTCCTAGCTACTCGCTCCTTGGTACCTTCTAAACTTGGTACTACTTGAATGCTCTATTTAGAAAATAAGTAAAATAACATTTCTTTAAAAAATATTACTATTATTGTTTTATGTGAATACACGTGTGCCCACATATGCATATGGAATCCAGAGATCAACACTGGATATCTTCCTTAGTTGCTCTTTGCCTTATATTTAGAGAAAAGTTCTCTGTCTTATTAGGTTTCTATTGCTGTGATAGACCAAAAGCAACTTGGGGGAGGAAAACGTTTATTTCAGCTTCCAAATCATAGTCTGTCATGAAGGGCAGTCATGGCAGGAACTCAGGCAGAAACCTGGAGGCAATGACTAAAGCAGAGACCATGGCGAACAATGCTATCTGACTCGCTATTGAGGTTTGCTCAGCAGGCTTTCTTATACCATCCAGGTCCACCTGCCCAGGGGTGGTACTGCCCACAGTGCACTGGGCCCACCCATACAAGTCATCAATTAAGAAAATGCTGCACAGACCTGCCTACAGGCCAACCTCATGGGGGCATTTTCTTCATTGAGGTTCCTCTTCCCAGGTGACTCTAGCCTGTGTCAAGTTGACAAAAACCTAACCAGGATAGTCTCTGACCGAATCTGGAGCTTGACAGTTTGCCTAGCTAGGCTGACTGGGCAAACATCTGAGACCCTCCTGCCTCTGTTTCTGCCTCCCAGGGCTGAGATTACAGCCGTTGTGTGTGGCCACACCTGACTTTTACATGGGGGCTGGGTATCCAAACTCAGGTTCTCATGACTGTACAGCAGGACTGTACCTGCTGAACCATCTCTTCACTCAGCCCCTGCTTCCCCTCCCCTTCCTTTCCCTCCTCTTCTTTTGACACAGTATCACAATATAGTTTAGACTGGCCTGGAATTCATTATGTAGCTCAAGCTACCTTTCCAATTCAAGAGTCCTTTGCCTCAACGTCTCCAGCACTCAGGTTATAGACTACTATGCCTGCCTTTTTTGGGGGTTGGGGTGGGCAAGATCTCACTATGTAGGCTGGGTTTACCTTGAACTCAAGATCTTTTTGGTTTAGCCTCCTGAGAGCTGGGATAACAGGGGTCTGCCACCATGGCCAGCTAATCTAAATAAATAACATTCATCCAAATGAGAAACCCTCTTCCACAGCCAAACTTGTGGCCTAGGGCATTCTGTTGACACATCTGTCTGAAATACAGGTGAAGGATGTTCCACTGTCCTCACTGTCATTCAAGAGGTACTTGTCATAGGCCTAGGAATACAAAGAGAAGCTACAAAGACACTGATTCCCCAGATCAGCCTAAAGCATGGCTGGAAGAATGAGCACACTCATGGATTTGAATATGACAACACCACCTTCAAGTCTCACAGGAAATGATGGATTATTAATGTAAAAAATTGGCATTGTATCTATACTCCTTTTCAGGGGTGGGGGAATTCCAGTTAGATCTGTCACATATATAGGAAAAGTAGATTCTGAGTGGAATTAAGAGATACTGGGCACAAAGTACAGAAAAAGAATTTACTATAATCAGTACTGAGAGAAAATAGTTCTTTTCCTCCTCCTCCTCTTCCTCCTCCTCCTCCTCTTTTGGTTTCTCAAGACAGAGTTTCTCTGTGTAACAGCTCTGGCTGTCCTGGAACTCCTTTGTAGACCAGGCTGGCCACAAACTCAGAGAGATCCGTCTGGCTCTGCCTCCAGAGTGCTGGGATTAAAGGCATGCGCCGCCGCCGCCGCCGCCGCCGCCGCCACCACCACCACCTGGCTGCGAATAGCTCTTTTATGTGTATAGTGTGGTTTTAGGCAAGGCCTTCCTATTCAAGATGCAAAGATTACATCATACAGAAGTACCAGGCAGTGTTCTGTACTGTCCACACCATGTTCCTGCCAATCTAAGTCTGTCCTAAAACTCTGTTATTGAGGGACTGAAGGATCAGCTCATCAAGAGGACACTTGATCTAAGCAGGGTCATGCTCTAGCTTTGATCTCTAGAAATGGACCACCCCAATTA